AACTTTGTTTGCGATTAATTTACATTTTGTTTATTGTAAACTCATTTGAATCAATAGAAAAAGTTAATTTTGAATTAGATGATCATTAACTAGATCAATATTTAATGAACAAAGTGTTGATTGATATGGATTAACCAGAGAATTAGTTAAACAGTTTGATTAAATTATCTCCAGTTCTAATTGAATCTAGAGAAAAAGTCATTCGTTTCGCAAACTGTGAAAAATCTTTTTCCATTCTCGACAATTCCAAAGGTCTGATTAATTCAGCCTTTTATCGACCTTCGATCATAGAGTTGAGAGGTGACATGGAACCTCAATTTAGTTAAACAAAGATTAATGCATTTTCTATAAATGACATAACACATCGGAATATAATAGTTACCATACTGATAATTAACAATCTAATTGCTCAGAAGTGAGTGATCATCTCAAGAATGGTAGATTCTATTAATAAAATAAAGTTTCAAACTTCATTAAAAGCGCCATCGCTCAAATGTAAATTTTTTCAAAATTTTCGAAGCCCAAATACGACTGTGGTTTTTACTTAAGGGTAAAAATCGCTCTCGGTCAAAATTTTCTCTATGAGAAGTTTATAATGGGAAATTTAAAGAACAATTTTCGTTAATTTTGGCCATGTTGGATCTCAATAACCTTACTTCAGATAATGATGAGCTCAAGTATATAAGATAATAGGTCAAAAAGATTAACTTTTGACGAAAAGTTATGAGTCAAAGTCAACCATTCGCTTTTCAGGCCTCGATTTCTCAAGCACTTCCACAGATAATTATGTTATTAGTAAACAGTTTGAACAAATATTTTTATTTTTCGATGCATAATGATGTTAATCTTAAGATTTACATTTTATGAGAAAAACTTCAAACAGAAATGAGATGATTGTAAAAACACAAAATAATAAGTAAAGGCTAATGAGATCAGTAAAATTTAAATACGTGAGTGGACTGTAAGAGCCTTCGGCTCTAGGGTTTAATTCCTGGTAGAACCGACATCCGGGAAAGCGACTATCATTGATGCGACGATGGTAAAGTTTATTAGCATTAATTGCGGCCAACTTATCAAAACCATGTTCAATATGTGAATATGAAGCTCTGTAAATCCGTCGTTTCTTATTGCGCTCAATATTCGAATGGTAAAAGTATGAACCTGTTTTCTCAAAATAGCGAACTTTGCTAGAATGAAACAGAAAATCGTTCCGTCCATTTTTGAGATACTTATGATTTCTAATAGAGACGTTGACAAAAGAAATTAAAAACCATTCAACGTAATCGGGTTGATAATCTATTGATCAATATATTTGTTTCATCAAAAGGGTCATCGATCGATTGATACTTCTATATTGAAACGGAAGGTCATTTAAATTGATAGATTCGTTTGCGAAATGATAACAAAACATTTCTGTGCAAAACCTTGATTTCTTTTCATATTCTATCAATCTTATTCTATCTGTCGTTATGATATCATTTTCTTGTTGTAAAGATTTCGTTAATATTTCTTATTGTGAGGACGGACGGATAATAATTAATAATCTCTTATTAAAGTTTGGTTATCGTCAACAAGCGAAATCGAAAGTCGAGGAAACTGAATCAGTTTGACATTACTTCTGATAGATCGAGCAAAATATAATATCGCTGAATAGTTTTGAAGGTGATTATGATACGAACGGATTCTTCAATTATCTCAAGTGATGATAATTCTTTGTTAATTCACCGTGGATAATTCGGTAAATGTTCATGAAAACACAACTGTCAGGCCAGTCACTGGTGACAGACACATTTCTCTGTACCTGTCAAAACGAAGAAATTCTGGAAAAAGTAAAATCAACTTCACCTGATCTGAAGAAATAAAGTAACATCAGCCTCACTATCAATATTCAGCATTGTGGGAATATCACCAGCTCATTTCAGAAGATGAGCTTGAGTTGCTCCTCGGACTTTCCTTTTGACGATTTTCACAGAAATTTAATAGAGTTATTCATTCTTATCCGGCCTTACAATTACATTTATTTTCGACATTTTCACGAACTACAAAATGAAATCATAACGACAGATGAATACGATTGATAGAATTCAAAGAAAGAAATCAAGTTATTTGAGTTTTCAGTTTTATTAAATCGATAATTGTATCAATTTAATGGCTTTTCCTTTTCCTATATAGAAATCATTAGAGGTCGACGTGTTGATTTTGATGAATCAAATATATTGATCAATAGATTATCAACCCGATTACGTTGAATGGTTTTTTAATTTCTTTTGTCAACGTCTCTATATTAGAAATCATAAGTATCTCAAAAATGGACGGAACGATTTTCTGTTTCATTCTAGCAAAGTTCGCTATTTTGAGAAAACAGGTTCATACTTTTACCATTCGAATATTGAGCGCAATAAGAAACGACGGATTTACAGAGCTGCATATTCACATATTGAACATGGTTTTGATAAGTTGGCCGCAATTAATGCTAATAAACTTTACCATCGTCGCATCAATGATAGTCGCTTTCCCGGATGTCGGTTCTACCAGGAATTAAACCCTAGAGCCGAAGGCTCTTACAGTCCACTCACGTATTTAAATTTTACTGATCTCATTAGCCTTTACTTATTATTTTGTGTTTTTACAATCATCTCATTTCTGTTTGAAGTTTTTCTCATAAAATGTAAATCTTAAGATTAACATCATTATGCATCGAAAAATAAAAATATTTGTTCAAACTGTTTACTAATAACATAATTATCTGTGGAAGTGCTTGAGAAATCGAGTGGCCTGAAAAGCGAATGGTTGACTTTGGACTCATAACTTTTCGTCAAAAGTTAATCTTTTTGACCTATTATCTTATATACTTGAGCTCATCATTATCTGAAGTAAGGTTATTGAGATCCAACATGGCCAAAATTAACGAAAATTGTTCTTTAAATTTCCCATTATAAACTTCTCATAGAAAATTGTGACCGAGAGCGATTTTTACCCTTAAGTAAAAACCACAGTCGTATTTGGGCTTCGAAAATTTTGAAAAAATTTACATTTGAGCGATATTTTAATGAAGTTTGAAACTTTATTTATTAATAGAATCTACCATTCTTGAGATGATCACTCACTTCTGAGCAATTAGATTGTTAATTATCAGTATGGTAACTATTATATTCCGATGTTTATGTCATTTATAGAAAATGCATTAATCTTTGTTTAACTAAATTGAGGTTCTGTCACCTCTCAACTCTATGATCGAAGGTCGATAAAGGCTGAATTAATCAGACCTTTGGAATTGTCGAGAATGGAAAAGATTTTCTGTTTGAAACGAATGACTTTTTCTCTAGATTCAATTAGAACTGGAGATAATTTAATCAAACTGTTTAACTAATTCTCTGGTTAATCCATATCAATCAACACTTTGTTCATTAAATATTGATCTAGTTAATGATCATCTAATTCAAAATTAACTTTTTCTATTGATTCAAATGAGTTTACAATAAACAAAATGTAAATTAATCGCAAACAAAGTTTGGGGCCCATTGATTTAATTGTGACTTATTATTACAGATGATTAAAGTAACAACTAACATTAACCAATTGGAATAACCTCAATCACAATTTTTAAATGAACAATACCATTTGTGAGCGATTCATTGAAGGTTATCACCTTTTTCAATCCTATGGAAAATGTAATGATGATGGTCAGGCTTTTTATTTGATTGTCTTTCTTTTTGAGATCGCTTTTTGAGTTGATAATAATCGTTACTTCATTCTAGATCTGGTATAATTGTCTCCTGGTTATTTGTGGATATTTTTCGCTGAGATTGTAGTAACTTTTGTCCATGTGAAAGGTCATTATTGTCATCGCATTTATTACCAAGAAAGTTGAAGTTTTCTTGGTGTTGTTGGTCAATCTCTAGATCGACTAATTTCTCATATTTCCATTTGAAAAGAGACGATGTGTTGGTCATCACGCGATTTTGAAATTGTGAACACTGGCATAATTGGTCAATAGATTAATAGATTAATCTATTAATATTAGATTTTAATTGAGAAAAGTAAACATTGAAACATTTAAAATTAGTAGAAATCTGATTTTATGAAAAGTGAACGTGAATTAAGAAACATTAATCAGGATTTTGTTTTAGAAACAATTACTTCATTAGTTAATGATGCTAAAGCTAAATAATTTGAAAGGCTTGAAACAATTCAAATGGTATCAACGAATTAATTATGATCAAGCTAAAAGAATAACCTTTTCTTATCTTTATTATTTATAAATCTCATCATCCTAATCATTTAACTATTGATTCAAATTCAATTTTTTTTTAAAATAAAACGTATTATACACGTACATGTTTACGTAAACATGCCGTGTTTTGCAATGATGATGAGCTTGATGGTTACATGATAGCTATTGAAGCTCTATGATCGATTTATAATCGATAGGATCTTTAATATAAGATGTTGACAAAATTTATCTTCGAGTATGGTCAACAGAAACTCTATGATCGAAGGTCGATAAAAGGCTGAATTAATCAGACCTTTGGAATTGTCGAGAATGGAAAAAGTTTTTTCACAGTTTGCGAAACGAATGACTTTTTCTCTAGATTCAATTAGAACTGGAGATAATTTAATCAAACTGTTTAACTAATTCTCTGGTTAATCCATATCAATCAACACTTTGTTCATTAAATATTGATCTAGTTAATGATCATCTAATTCAAAATTAACTTTTTCTATTGATTCAAATGAGTTTACAATAAACAAAATGTAAATTAATCGCAAACAAAGTTTGGGGCCTATTGATTTAATTGTGACTTATTTTTACAGATGATTAAAGTAAACTAACATTAACCAATTGGAATAACCTTAATCACAATTTTGTATAAAAAGCATGAGCTTTGGGTTGATTATTACCCAGTCAACCCAATTTTCTCGCGTCTCCAAAAGTTGAGTGTGCATTAGATTTCCTTCAAAAAGACCTGCGTGATTTCATGAAATTTTTTGCATTTCAATTTATCGTCTCTCTGAGAATCCATCATGGAAAGTTCTTCTATTAGAAGCCGGTGGATCAGAAAGTGTTCTCAGCGATATTCCAGTGGCCGTTGCGACTCTTCAAATGACCCCCATTGATTGGGCTTTTCAAAGTGAACCACAAGAAGCTTCGTGCTATGGGTTAATCAACAGACGAAGTCGATGGCCTCGAGGCAGAGTTTTGGGAGGATCATCGGTACTAAACTACATGTTATACAGTAAACAATCAATGAATTACTCAAAGTGATATCGTTTCCATGGTTGATGCTATGAAGATATCGATCGCCGTTGGCTTAGCTCCAGCTTTCCGTTCTTTAGGCTCTAATATATTCCAAACAGTTTTCGGCATCCAGGTGAGTTGTCAACTTGCTGACTTAGATTTTGAATGATTAATTCTTAATTGTATTACATAAATTGTAGATTTTGATTTATTGATCTCTGCTCTTCAAATTGAATCGTAATTGCAACTCGCTGAAACCGATGGATCCTCGTTATCCACCATGATCCGATTAAATCGTAAATCGACAAAAACTTGAAACAAATTGTGTTTCTATTGGAAGTGAATTAAATTTAACCGAATGCCACGACTTATTGGTAATCTCGACGATTGCTGGTTCACCGGCGGCAATCCAAATTGTCACTGAAGCATTTTCATACGACCTCGCTGGTAGTTCGGGCATTTTAAACCGAGTTGAGTAAACTTAAAACTGAAAGAACAAAAAACACAGTTTTGGACTCGACACTTCCAAAGGTCTGATTAATTCAGCCTTTTATCGACCTTCGATCATAGAGTTTCTGTTGACCATCATCAAAGGTAAATTTTGTCAACATTTTATATTAAATATCCTATCGATTATAGAGCTTCAATAGCTATCATGTAACCATCAAGCTCATCATCATTGCAACACGGCATGTTTACGTAACGATTATTATCAACTCAAAAAGCGATCTCAAAAAGAAAGACAATCAAACAAACAGCCTGACCATCATCATTACATTTTCCATAGGATTGAAAAAGGTGATAACCTTCAATGAATCGCTCACAAATGGTATTGTTCATTAAATGAGCTTAAACGGGTTAACAATTTAGTTTCTGATCAAGATTTTCATGCACTTGCTGTCATTAAAATGCCCGTTAAAAAGTATGGAATCCTCAGTGAGGTGATGGTTCACCAAGTGAACAGTTCAAATTTAACTTTGATTGATGAAACACCAGAAGAATTGACAAACAAACCGTTGATAATTAACGTTGGTTTACGACAGACTTTTCTTAATGATGACAATTCTCAAGATATGAACAAATTTAGATGTTGATCTGGCTAAAATGAGAAAAGTGGCCGACAATATGAAATGACATTAAAAATGAAAGGTTTTTAACAATCAAGCGAAATGTAAGCTCGAAAAAATTTTTGTCATTACTTAGTTGCTTACCTAATAGAATATTTTCAATCTATTGATCAATATATTTGTTTCATTTTCTAAAAAGGGTCAACACGCGTCGACCTCTAATGATTTCTATATTGGAAACGGAAAAGTCATTTAAATTGATACAATTATCGATTTGAATAAAAAACTGAAAAACTCAAAATAATTTGATTTTTTCGCTTTTCATATTCTATTCAATCTTTTCTATCTGTCGTTATGATTTCATTTTCTTAGTTTCGTAAAATTTTCGTTAATATTTCTTATTGTGAGCTTTGGATAAGTAATGAATAACTCTCTTATTAAAGTTCTGTTCAAAATTGGGAAAGGAAAGTCCGAGGAGCAACTCAAGCTCATCTTCAGAAATGAGCTAGGTAATATTCCTATAACAGTCGCTGAATATTTTGATAGTGAGGCCGATGTTATTTCATTCTTCAGATCAGGTGAAGTTGATTTACTTTTTCCGGCTGTATACTTTCATTTTCTGACAGGTACAGAGGTAAATGTGTCAGTCGGACCAGTGACTGGCTCTGACAGTTGTGTCTTCATGAACATTTACCCAAATTTTATGATTTTCTGCTTATTGATTTCCATTCGATTCGGAAATTGATCTTCCAGGTTTATCATTCCAATTAGATCGTAAAACTTTTTCAACTTTTCCCATTTTAATCCGAAAACAAATAATAAACCATATGAGGATCTAGTGAGCTCCCTGAATATTAGTTCATAATAAGTGAGAGTTTTTTTCCCAGGGGAATTTGAAGACTTAATAATTCTTATGATAGAATCTGCGATTGAACTGAGTTTATCTTATTCAAGTTTGTAACGGAATCAAATCATTTCAACGTTAATTTTTTGATTAATAATAAAAGATTAAATTGATTGACAGGTGTAAACTTTATCAACAAAAATTATCAACACTGTTAAAATTCAATCAACGATTAAAAAAGCAGTGTGATACAAAGTTAATTGTATTCTCTACCTTTTAATTGAAAATTTTATTTTCTGCAATCAAAACAGTTCTATTCACAACAAGTTGAGGTTCATTAAAATGTGTTATAAATCATTAAAAACGGAATCACTTTCAAGTAATCCAATTACCATGAATCGAATCATTTGCTTATATTCACGATCATCGAAAGCTCATTTCATTGGAATTGGTGTAATCCTCTTATTATCAATTGTGATTTGTGTGGGTGTTTCAGTGACTCGTCTTACTGGTTCATCTTCAACACTTTCACCATCATTTCAACGATTTAAAGGTAATAATTACAATTACTTATTCGAAATGGTCTTTGATTAATTCTAACTTATCATTCTGAAGAAAAATTGGCCAAAATCGATCATTCAGTTCAATGGGTAAACTATAATACTATCAATGTGTCACTGACCGATGTTTTCATTGGCGATCAAGATGAAAACAAAGATTTTATTTACGCGTGCAGAGTCGATTATAACAGCGAAATCAGTGAGGTTATACCTGGCACTTATTATCCAAAGAAACAGAGGTGCCTATTTTCATATGGAGGAAAAACTCTAGAAAAAGATGAATTTCAATTATTAACAACTAAAGATCAAAGTGCTTTGATTTGGATTAAACGTTCAAATGATGAAGTTTATAATGGTGCAATTACTGGCGGTTTAAATGCTTTTGACGAAGAGCTATGGATTGCTCGAGTTAACGTTTTTGGTTACCGTTATGCGATTGGAAAAATTTACAATCGATATAAATTAGCACATGTACCAGACGGATATGAAGAATATGACAGTCAGCAATACGATGTTCTGTGTCTCGAAGATTTTGCTCTCTGAGAATCTGGTCCACTCAGCTATTTACTTATTTACAGTATTTTGTAGTTTTCTACGAATAAATTGAATTAGAATCATTTTCAAGGCTCATGAGCTAGAAATTAATTGATAGCTCAAAATGTATTTCAATACGACCTAAAGATTGGACTTGAAGCCCTATCGAACAAATTTGACGATTGTATTCAAATATATCTATTGTAGTCAGTTAAAATTATCAAGTGAATTAAATTGTTGTCATAGATCATCTTTTGCATGATAGACTGTTGGTAGCAATTAATTAATCGAAAGTCGGTCATTATCTTTATTTTTTGTAATATAATGATTAATAATAGATTTTCTCAGAATTCATTTATTATCTTAACGATTGAATGATGCAGTTAATTACTTCAACTTTCTCGTGATGAATAATGACAATTGTTATTAGGTAAATAATGACGTTTGCAATTAAAATAACATTTCAACAACTAACATTATTGAACTTTATTTTATTAAATGGGAGGTAAACTAATTAATATCGAAAAATGTCAAACAAAATCACTTGATGATCAAGATCGCTCATTGAAAGTGTTGATTATTTCATATTAGTTCAATCACTATTACTGAATCTCAGCAAATGCAGTGAAGGGAAAATCTCCGATGTAATCGGCGATTCAAGGCCACAATCAAACTTGATAATAGAAAGGCAAACAAATGAATAACATAAATTACTCTTTTTCAATAAACATTGGAACTCTGAAATACTCATTTATAAATTGATATTAATTTAATATTTATGAATGATTTATTATGATTAGAACCCTTTATTTTTAACAATCAAATCTTCAATCATCTTGACGGCTTTTGTACCAGAATCTGAATTTTTCATATTTTCTGATATTTTTTTTACTCTTTCTTGCAATTGCTCATCATTTAAAACTTTGTCAATACAATTAAGAAAATAATCTTCATCAAAGTCCCAAGGATTAACTCGATATCCAATCTGTTTATCAACGACTCTCTGTGCATTGTCTGGTTGATCGCCAAGCCAAGGGATCACTATCATCGGTTTTCCATGATAAAGACTTTCCATAAATGTATTGTTTCCTCCATGGGTTATTACCAAATCGACTTTCTTGATAACGGCAATCTGGTTAACATATTCTTGTCCCCACATATTTTCAGAAAGATTTAGTTTTTCACCTCGTCGACCCATTGAAACGATCACACGATGGCCACAACGAGCAAGAACGGAAAGACATTTATTCATAATTATTAAATCATTAGAAGCAGTTGATCCAAGAGAAAAATAGATCAACTTTCCAGGTTTATCTTTTAGTTTTTCAGGTAATTCGAATTCTGAACCTTCATCAGGAGATCGAACATAACAATCAATTCGATGCCACCCACTTGCAACAGGCTCTAACTCGATGTAATCAAGATCAGCAGGATAATGATAAAAACCAATTGTTTTAAGTGGTAATACCCATCGAATTGTACTAAAGTCTTCAGGCCTTCCTGATTCTTTTAACAGAGCATTGAAATTTTCTGTTCTCTTCGAATTAGCATCAACACAATAGTTTTGATATTCTACCCATAATTTAGGATCACTATTAACAGAAAGACCGGACATTCCCGGTGGACCTTTTTCGTATAAGACCAATGGTGCAGCCGAAAGCGAGGAAATGACAGGAATCGTCTGCTTGTAAATACAATCTATTAAATCTAATCCATCATGAACAATTGCATCGAATGAGTTGCCATCCAAAATCGGGATTAGTACTTGATTTAATTTTCTGAAAATCTCAACTCCGAAAGCTGCTGATTCCTTTTCCTCTTCAGTATAATTCTTAAATCTCTCCATTGGTTCTTGTCGAAACTTTTCCGCATTCGCGTCCATCCATTTCAGAACTTCTTCCTCGCACTCAGCACCAATAACTTCTTCGTCAAAAGAAATGAAATCAAACCCATGTTGATCGGCGAGTTTCTTATACTTCAATCGTTGAGCAAAGGTCACTTTATGTCCATGTTGAACTAATAATTCACCGAAACCACAAATCGCATTAATATGACCATAACTGTTGTTGAAAATTGGAGACAAAAATTAGTACAATTTAAACAAGAAAATAATCGTTACTTACGCTTCAATAGCAGTAATCAGAATATGATATGAAGATTTAAACATTGTAACAATTGAATTGAAACAACTCTTTGATTGTCAATAGACTAATGCTTTAGATTTATATTTGCTTTCATATCGCCATTATTGCAGCAATAAATGAAAATATCAAAGGTGCTTGTTGATGGCTGTTCACTAAACTCTCTATTGTCAACTAACAGCAATGATAATTATCAATTTTCATCCTTCTCCAATCTTTCATATCTATTGCAAAAGAGTTTTCATCACGAGTTAAATTTTGCACTCGCCTTGCAATTAACAATTTATTGTTTAATTGTGATAATCAACGATTAGACAAATGATAAAACTAATATTTGTTTGTTTTTCTAACAAAGTTAATCAAATCTATAATAAGATAAGCATAAAGGGTGATCGAAATCTCCGATTGAATGATCGAAAAAACTTTTCGCTAAATTATCCTTACTCAGGAATGAATTTTTTGTAATCAGCTAACCAAATTTGTTGATTTATTTAAATGCTAAATTTAAATTTTAACAATTTTCCTATCAATATAAATAATTAATTAAGACTTTAATCAATACAGATAGATTATAATTGGGATTAAAATTTCATCAACACTAGCTAAAACTGAGGAAGGAGAGTTTGAGTAACGAATGGGAAGTCCCCTGTTATTGGGTCTGTCTCTCCTGCTCGTATTCAAGCCTGAACCTTGATCCCATTTCTGGTCACAGGTACTACAGTACCTAATTGATGAATTAATTGAATGGATTATGTAACATTGACACCATGATAATCAACCTAAAGAGATTAATGAAGAAATCGTAAGACTTTGCCCTCAAGAATAGATAATTAAATATTATCTGAATAAACAGATTAATCCACAAGATTATCTTACCTTGACTAAAGATTATTGAGATTCTATCTGATTGTAGAACTATATTTTTATTAAGTTCCTTTTCCGATTGAACAATGGAAGAGAAAAGTATATATTGATTGTAAAATGAGAAATAAATTCAGCGTTAGGTCAATTATTGATCAGCAACGTACGAAAAAAAAAGTTTGCAGTTTTCATTCACTAAAATTTCCTCAAAATAAAATGTATATGTTAACCATTATCGTCAATTCATAAATGTAACATAAAAAAGGAACAATTTTTTTCTCTTCATTTCTTATACGAACCCTCGAACTCATTTCTTTTGGCTGTATAAGACTCGAAAGAACTAAAATCGAAAAGTTTCATTTACAACTCCACGAAGTTGACATCTGATCATGGTCTTACAATTAACCTTGATTGATAAAACTAATCTAATCGAGTTAAGTATAAATTAAAATATTTTAAAAGCTTAACTTATCATCACAATATCACTAACCAATTTTTCTTAAGAGTTAATCGAAAGTATTAATAAATAGTAAATTTTGCTTCGTTCAGATGAAGGCAAATTACTAAATATCATGAATTGGATATATAAAAATTACGAGGTAAAATTTACGATATTTTTTTGATTTGGGCTCATTTGGGCGAAGAGCATATAAGCGAAAGTCACAATAGCGAAATCAAAGGCGAGTCAAGATAGAAAAAATTTCTCAGATGAACCTTATAATGTACAACCCATAATTCAGAATTTTTCATGATTAATTAATTTCTAGTTCATGAAAACAATTAATTGTGATTAACCAAGAAATTCAAAACCTTAAAAAATCAGCTCAAAATGGTTGATTATCAGCAATTTATCATATTTTTCACTGAATCAATAAATTTTTTAGATGGTAAGTTGGTTAATTTAAATTCTTCTACTTTGACTTTCGCTAGTTAACAATTGGTTTCTCTCTTTTAATTTCATATTTTTGAGCCTTTACGAAATATTCATATTATTGATGATTTACATGTATATATCTATAATCGTTGATCGCTTTATGAGTTTTTATCTCTTATGTTGATTCAAAAAATAAGAATCTTTTGCCTCGATCAAGCCAGTCGGCAAACAATCAAACAAATGAACTTTTAATTGCGGTTTTGTTAACAATCAAATATACACTAACAAGTGTATACCTAAGTAACGTAAGACGTTTTATTGAAAAAAATATCTATGACCATTTGTATCAATAGTTAAATGATGAGGATGATGAGATTCATAAACGTGAATAAGATGAGAAAAGATGATTCTCTTGGCTTGATGCCGTCGATTGAGACTTTTGAGGCCATAGATCTTGATTTTGAAATTTCTAACTAATTTTCGTTATAACTGTTCTGATAGTAATACTTTAATTGAAATCATTGATTTTTCTTCCTTTACCTCTTAGATCCGTTAATTTCTCATGCGAATGTATGATAAAAATATTGGATTTAGACTCTTTGGATTTATGATTATCGATAAAAACTTTATCGTTTCTCTTTTCTCTGTTTCACTTTCGATAATCCTTTACACAGAAACATTCATAAAATTCCGATTCACATTAAATATTAGAATGCGTCCCCAATTATTGTTCAACTCACATTGATTTCTCGAAATGTTCATTAGCCATAAACAAACTTCATCCATTGTATTAATACTCTTGATACAATTAAATGATAACTCGCGAGTTAAATTTCACAAATCATGGCGAGTGGTATCAAAAATGATCATTTTCGAATAACTTTACGAGCAAAGTTCCAAAATTTCAAGTATCGAAAGAATATTGGATAGCGATAATCATACATCATCTCTCCTCTTTCGAGAGAAAGAGAAAGGAAAAAGAATGGAAAGACTTTTTTTTTATATATCCGCTCTTCATCTTCCGTTTCTCTCTCATTTTTCTCATTTTTTACTAAAATGATGCATCAATAGGCTCACTTATGGGAATTGAGACCGAACAGAGTTTAAAATTCACTTCAGCATGTAGATTTTTAAGATGAAACATTTGATAAAACTCGATTGCTGGTCAATAAATCGGAGGATGGTTTTTTTACCGTAACAATAGTTTAATTGCTCTTAATCGAGTGAATTTGATGAATTAGTTATCCTATATGATATTGTTCAAATGATCTAAAGATCTTCAAACATAAATAGCTGAACATGAGGCCGGAAATCGCGAAAATGACTTTGGTTAACGTGAAAACAGAATGAGTGTTTAAATGATTAATTTATTTTTCTTTTTCGCTCCGAGTTTTTTGACAGTTAAATTGTTGATAAACATTTTGTGCCTGTTATGTTATCGATTTTACCAACGAACTTGTTGTTCAATTCAATCAGATTAACCATTTTAGATCCAACCATTTGAGGCCAAACAATTGGTCCTTGTTTACTTGGTACACTAGAGATACAATTCAGGTCAATTGGTAAATTTATTTTTCAATTCAGTTCAGATATAATAATTTATAACTTACCCGTTTCGAGCAAAATCAGCCCAAGTTTTCATAAAATTAAGACTCAATTCGATATCATCGGCATCAAAGTTTTCAGGTTCACGAATAGGAGATCCAAAAACGAAGACCAATTCATTGCCGTGACAAACTTTATCCACTTGCCTACTACAATCTGGTGAAGGAACACCGATCGGTGTTAATGAGACCTGAGTATGGATATAGCCATAAGTAGATGTATTTGAATTAGAAGCTTTGAGAACAGCGAAATTGTAAGTTTTACAGATGAGGCGATCTCCTTCATCCCTTTCGGCTCCGACCAGCAGATTGACATCGTTGAATTGTCCAGTTGCAATGGCTCGAGTTTCATCTAAAGGAACAAATTTATCACCGTAAACTGGCTTGAACTTTGAATTCAAAGCGAAAGTGTTGTTCAAGAGATCAGTCCATGGGATTGATCGAAGGCAAGACATTTTATCTGTGGCATTCATGCATCCACAAGCTTCAACGGTTTCTGATGAAGTTGTAATGTTAAGTTCTTGGTTTGATTTCATTATTCCACCTGATTCCATGATGGCACCTTTGAATAAACCCTTATTATGAGGAGAGAGAATATGAAAAGCAACGGACGCAGAGCCAGCTGATTGTCCAAAGATTGTGATCTGATATGGATCACCACCAAAAAGGTGAATATTATCTCGTGTCCATTTGAGAGCAAAATGTTGATCCCAAAGACCGAGATTGGGAGTAAGAGAAGGAATCAATTCTTCATCATGTAAGAACCCTAACGGTCCCAATCGATAGTTAATAGTGACCAAAATGACATCTTCAAGAATTACTAAAGGAGTTCCAATATAAACATCAAAATCACCAGCACTTCCGCGAATGAAACTACCACCATGGATCCAAAAGAGAACTGGTTTCAATTGAGTAGTTCGAGCGTCAAACGTTTCCTTGTTGACATAAATATTCATGTAAAGACAATCTTCGTCCATGTCTTCAATCTTAGTCGCCCTATTCAATCAAAAGAATTAGTAATGAGAAAAATTATCGAAAATAAGAAAACTCACCATGAAGCTAGTGATGGACAAGATTTTCCGAAAGCGACCGTATCTTTAACCCCTTCCCATGGCTTAGGGTGAGCGGGTAACGAATATCGAAGTGAATCGACTGGAGCTGTTGCATATGGAATACCCTTGTATTCGTAAATTGATCGACCTCTCCATTGTTTAGTTGCACCTCTAATTTTACCTAGAGGTAATTCAACAACTTCGCTATATTCAAGACAATCAAACTGATTAACAGCTAAGCAAACAGTCAACAGACTAAATAAAAACTTCATTTTTATTTTAAGAATCAGAGTAAACTTACAAAACAATTCAGATAATGATGAAGCTCATTTCAATCAATTGATTTTTATATTTTTACTCTGCATTGTATTCAGCTAATTAAGTGTGATTGATGACAAAGTGAAACGTTTAATCAGCTTTTGGATCTTATTATTCGTGATTAGTGCAGCTCAAACAATACCTTATTCAGATATTGAGGGTCATATTCGTCGAGATTAAATGTTAATCTAAAGATCAATTGATTTTTCCATAAAATCATTATTCTCATTTAAAGTGTACTCATCAAGTTAGATTAGTTGAACTGAGTATCTTGGTGGGTAAATCGGCAATCGATTGTGAGTTAATTTCGTTTTTCAATTGTTAATAGTTATTTTCTACTGGATTGGTAATTTATTTGCACAAAGTTTATTTCTTTAATACCTCGAAAATTAATTAACTAATCTGTATGGTCTTTGCTTGAATCGATTATTCAAGTTTGGGAGATTAGTTTTGACTTATCAAAAAATTATTCGATTGCATTAATCTCCTGATTTTTCAATCAAACGAAGATCATTTTTACACAAAAACTTATGAGGCTCTATGAGTTTTCAATTCTGAACTTATACTAAATCTCTTTACATGCTGAAGTGAATTTTAAACTCTGTTCGGTCTCAATTCCCATAAGTGAGCCTATTGATGCATCATTTTAGTAAAAAATGAGAAAAATGAGAGAGAAACGGAAGATGAAGAGCGGATATATAAAAAAAAAGTCTTTCCATTCTTTTTCCTTTCTCTTTCTCTCGAAAGAGGAGAGATGATATATGATGATTATCGCTATCCAATATTCTTTCGATACTTGGAATTTTTTGGAACTTTGGCTCGTAAAGTTATTCGAAAATGATCATTTTTGATACCACTCGCCATGATTTGTGAAATTTAACTCGCGAGTTATCATTTAATTGTATCAAGAGTATTAATACAATGGATGAAGTTTGTTTATGGCTAATGAACATTTCGAGAAATCAATGTGAGTTGAACAATAATTGGGGACGCATTCTAATATTTAATGTGAATCGGAATTTTATGAATGTTTCTGTGTAAAGGATTATCGAAAGTGAAACAGAGAAAGCGATAAAGTTTTATCGATAATCAAAGAATCTAAATCAATATTTTTATACATTCGCATGAAAATTAACGGATCTAAGAGGTAAAGGAAGAAAATGATTTCAATTAAAGTATTACTATCAGAACAGTTATAACGAAAATTAGTTAGAAATTTCAAAATCAAGATCTATGGCCTCAAAGTCTCAATCGACGGCATCAAGCCGAGAGAATCACCTTTTCTCATCTTATTCACGTTTATGAATCTCATCATCCTCATCATTTAACTATTGATACAAATGAACATAGATATTTTTTTTCAATAAAACGTCTTACAACGTTACTTGGGTATACACTTGTTAGTGTATATTTGATTGTTAACAAAACCGCAATTAAAAGTTCATTTGTTTGATTGTTTGTCGACTGGACTTGATTGAGTCAAAAAGATTCATTATTTTTTTTGAATCAACATAAAAGATATAAAACTCATAGCGATCAGCCACGATTATAGATATATACATGTAAATCATCAATAATATGAATATTTCGGTAAAGGCTCAAAATAGCGAAATTAAAAGAGAAAAAACCAATAAGGGTCACTAGCGCGAAAGTCAAAGTGAATTTAATTAATAACTTACCATCTAAAAATTTATTCATGAAAAATATGATAAATTGCTGATAATCAACCATTTGAGCTGATTTTAAGGTTTTGAATTTCTTGGTTAATCACAATTAATTATTTTCATGAACTGAAATTAATTAATCATGAAATTGTACATTGTACAGGTTCATCTTGAGAATTTTCGCTATCTTGACTCTCCTTTTGATTTCGCGCTATTGTGACTTTCGCTTATATGCTCTTCGCTCAAATGAGCCCAAATCAATATTTCAAATTTATCTTGAATTGTAATCGATCAATTGTTTATTCGACTTCTTTAACAATCGCTCGCTCAGTTATACTTGTCATTGGAACCGTTCCTGGTTTGGAATGAGCTCTCTTATTGCTCTCTTTTCTCTTGATTGCGTTAATCATGGCGTCTTTTTCTTTCTTTCCATGGTAAACATGTTTAGGTACATGACGATGTCGAGCGATCCTCTTAATCTCTGGATGATGAGCATAGGCTTCTTTAAGTTTCGCTTGATATCTAAAGTTGATTTCTTCTTTTGAACCTTTAGGACCAAGTTTCTCAGAGGCATTTGCCTTCCAGGCTCGAATGTCCATCTCATCAGATCCACATAAAATATATTTGGAGTCTAATGTCCATAAAACTGAACCTTTGTTCGTTTCGTATGGTAAACTTCTCGACTGTGGACAGCACCTTCTCGAAGATTCTTAAGTTTTATCTTCCATGACCAATTCTCTTCCTGTTGGAGAATAGTCAACATCGATTACGGCAGAAATATGATCTACATGAGCTTTCAATGGTTCTGAAAGATTCCGCATATCGAAAGTGTATAAACTAAAAGAGAGAAAAAATAAACAATGTGATTAATATGATTCGAGGTTAAAGATAAAAATTAAACTGAACTTACTTGTGATCTTCATTTGCTACTGTGAAATGATATCCTTCCATTGGATTCCATGCGATATTATTTGTTCTCATTGACATGATCACTTTTCTCAAATGTTCATTTTGGCGAATATCAAATAAGGTAATACTGCGATCATTCGCTGTGGAAGCGAAAATATCACATTCGATTGGATTAAACTTGACTTTATAAGAAGAATCAAAAGTCGGATTAAAGGTTTTCAGAGGTGATGGTCTTGATTCATCCCAAAGGTCAACAGATTCTCCACAAGTAATTAAATATTGTTTTTTCTTGTGATGATCAATTCCAACAATATTAGTTTTTGCAACGATTGAGGTGATTGGTCGATCATCTTTATTGGGCTCGTTTATATGCCATCTTTTTATGACATTAGTGTCACCGCAAGAGAAGAAATAGTTTCCATGTTGTGGTATACACAGGCCAGAAACAGCACCACCATGAGCTTGGATGGACTGGACACATTTCCTCTTCATGAGATCCCAAACTTTAATTTGACCATCAAATGAACCAGAGACAAGAGTGGACAAACTTTTAGGATGTTTCATTAGGCATTCAACTGGATCAATATGACCAGATAAACTAAACAAAAAGGGTTTTGCGAAAATTTTATCTAATTTAACAGCATTCAATGCTCTTTTGTATTCTCGTGGTATTTGAAGAGGATGAAGACGTGGATCAAGGTTCCTTTGAACTAAATAAAAAACAAAAACACAAAGAAAACATCAAAAGAGATTAGAAAAAAACCAACAAAAACAAATCCAATAAAAGTCAAATTCTCACCTTTGTGTACATCCTTGTTTGTTTCTCTCATATAATCTTGAGCACTTCGGGATATAACCTTAACTTTCATGGTTAGAGAATAGAGAATAGAATAGGTTAGAAGCAATTAATTGAAAAAAATAATTAGAATAAAGTAAAACAATTTAAATTAACGGAAAAGAAAGCAAAACCAAAATTTAAATTAACCCAAACCAAGAAAGTGAACACATGTGACATGTTAACCAGGGGGCATTTCCTAATTTCGCTTTGATTTTCCTCTTCTCTATTTCTGATTGTGTGCCTTTCGTTTAGTCGGAGGTGGATCAGCTGGAGCTGTTTTAGCTAATCGTCTCTCTGAGAATCCATCATGGAAAGTTCTTCTATTAGAAGCCGGTGGATCAGAAAGTGTTCTCAGCGATATTCCAGTGGCCGCTGCGACTCTTCAAATGACCCCATTGGTGGGCAAAGTGAACCACAAAGCTTCGTGCTATGGGTTAATCAACAGACGAAGTCGATGGCCTCGAGGCAGAGTTTTGGGAGGATCATCGGTACTAAACTACATGTTATACAGTAAACAATCAATGAATTACTCAAAGTGAGCCAAATGTTTAACAATTAAATGAATGCGTGTGAATAGTAGTAAGAAAAAAAAAGTAATTCTCGATTCGCCAATGCAACTTCCGACGATGGTACAGTCCAACGAAGGAAGAAGGTCCATTCACAGCCTTGGGTGGAGTTGAAGGTCTTGGTTTCATTAAGACGAAATATACAAACTTTTCCGATGATTGGCCTGACTTTGAGATTCGATCTCTGAAGCCTACTTCCGATGATGGTACAGTTTTCCGTCGAGTTCAGGTTTTACTCGTGAAATGTGGACTCAGTTTATCAGCCTACCTTCTATGATACTGCCATGTATCCGTCTTACGTCCCAAATCAGTTGGTTACGTTCACCTCATCATCCAGTCATAGATCCTCAATAATTAACCTCGTTATCTAACTCATCCGATGATATCGTTTCCATGGTTGATGCTATGAAGATATCGATCGCCGTTTATAGCTCAGCTTTCCGTTCTTTAGGCTCTAATATATTCCAAACAGTTTTCGGCATCCAGGTGAGTTGTCAACTTGCTGATTTAGATTTTGAATGATTAATTCTTAATTGTATTACATAAATTGTAGATTTTGATTTATTGATCTCTGCTCTTCAAATTGAATCGTAATTGCAACTCGCTGAAACCGATGGATCCTCGTTATCCACCATGATCCGATTAAATCGTAAATCGACAAAAACTTGAAACAAATTGTGTTTCTATTAGAGTAATTAATTTAACCGAGATGCCGACTTATTGGTAATCTCGACGATTGCTGGTTCACCGGCAATCCAAATTGTCACTGAAGCATTTCGCATGACCTCGCTGGTGGTTGGGCATTTTAAACCGAGTTGAGTAAACTTAAAACTGAAAGACAAAATCACAGTTTTGGACTCGACACTTCAAAGATCTGATTAATTCAGCCTTTATCGACCTTCGATCATAGAGTTTCTTTGACCCTCGAAGATAAATTTTGTCAACATTTTATATTAAATATCCTATCGACTATAGAGCTTCAATAGCTATCATGTAACCATCAAGCTCATC